GATAATTTACAACTGTACATACATGTATCATTTTAATAATGAAAAAAAAAAAAGAAAGAAGAAGAAGAAGAAGAAGAAAAAGAGAAGGAGAAAAACACGTTAACATTGAACAGTTCGTCTGTGAATAATTCGCGTGCAAAGGTTAATTCCCACGCAAACGCAACAGACTTTCCTTGGCTAACGAGAGCGAAAGCGATGAAGAGATCACCTTGAAGAGGAATGTGACAAGAGGACATTTTTATCCGGATAATATCTGTAACGGTACAGGCCACCGTTATTTCATTTCCACTCGGAGACAAACACGCCTATCGATTTCGTTTTTTTTTTTCCTTATGCGCTGTACACTGTGGCACACGATGACTTCTCGACACTACTCTCGATTTCAAAAGTTGTTGAAAATTTCAGAGCAAAGACGAAGAGTCAGATTCGCGGGTTGCACGAGTCTCCGCAACTTATTCAAAAGAAACAAGAAATTACTTACTGAGGATCGTCGAGATTCGACTTTCGACGCAATTATTTTCAAAATGTAATCAACGTACTCAATTGTTCTCGAAGGCGAGAGAATTCAACGAATGATAAAACAATGCGGGTCGCGTGTTCACAGTGCGAAAAAACATAGAGAGAGAAAGTGAAAGAGAAGGAAACTAGGAGCCGAGGCAAGCTTCGCGAAAAATTAAGAAACCGAAGGACCGAAAACGATAGAAAATTGATAATAAAAAGAGGTAGACGAGACACAGAATCACAGAAGGGGGGCGGGGGAGGGGGGACGAGTTAGAAGGAGGAAAGCTTAAAGATACGAAATACATTGCAGAATGTAATTCTGAAAGAGATATTTCGATGTAGAAGCTGTAGATTGGAGGTAGTTGAAGTTGAGATGGTTCAAAAGGATCCCCTTGTTGAAATTCTCTCGAATCATCGGTCACACAGTGTGGAATGAATGAATATTTTCTGCCAGCTTAGCCTTCCGTCCTCTCGATTAATAGTGATTCCAATTGTTCCCGGCGTTCCACAGGGGACTGTTCCAGGAGGGACCCGCAGGGTTCCATGAATTCGGTCCGGCTGGACCGGCCGGTGCTTTCTGCGCTTCAGCGTTGTACAAAGAGAAATGGACTGCCTTCGCTTGTTGCACTTCCGGCGTGTCCACCACGCGACCGTCTGGTCCGAGAGGAGCTGGCGGTCCACTGGAACCATTGTCATTCGTTTGCCCAATTTCAATTTTCAAACTCTGATTTCGAATGTCAATTTTCTCCCCCCTCAAATTCTAAATTCAAAGCTGTTTCTTTTGAATTCTAATACCGCAATTTCCCACGAAAATTCCCCGACTTCAGTTTCAAAGATCGGAAACCAAGTTGTTAGTTGTATGAGAGATAATGTGCAAAACCTGTAGTAGCTTCCAGATGCGTAGGGGCCAGCAGGGCCGGGATAAGGGCCAGCAGGCCCTTTGGGGGCCCTGGCGTTCGCTTCGGCCAAAGCAGCTAGATGAGCTGCTTTCAATTGAGCGACTTCCGGTGTGTCCACGACCCTTCCGTCTGGTCCTAACGGAGCTGGAGCTGCGTGGCCGTATGCTGGACCTCCATAACCTGGCCCGCCGTACCACTGTGGCGCAGAATAGGCCACGCTCAAGATGACAGAAACGAGAGTCTGAAAGAGAGAATGAAATTCACTCGTCAGTTGAATAGCGTAGCACTTCACGAGCCGTATGGATGAAAGCCACGTTTTTATATCTCCGAACGTAGAATGATAATCTCCTTCAAAATTGTACTATATATAGATACGAGTATCTTTGTCGATGTTTGAAGATAAATCACAGAGAGAAAGAAACTAAACTGAAATTGTAACAAACGTTGCTCAAAAGCTTGAATATCAAAAAAAAAAATTTCCAAAGGTATTTAGAAATTCAAGTAGAACATGAAATTCCAATTTTATGTGAGGGGGGAAAAAAAGCAATAGCGATGAAATATATATACTTACGATGTATCGGAACATGTCGTCGAAGCTCAGCGGAGGTCGATCCAGCGACTATCGACAGAGCTTGTGATCCGGCATTATGACTTCGACAATCTAGTATCGACGAATTTATAGGGGTACAGGGCGTCGTCGCGTGCCCCACCCCGTTGGCGACAACCCGGGGGTACACAACCACACCCAGGGAAATGCTCTGCTTTAAACGCTTGCCTTGCCCTGCCCGGTAACATTTACCAGCCATTAACAATGACATCGTGTGTGTCCCGTAACCTCGTCAGGAATAAAACTCGCCTCGACGCTATGCGCGAGACGTGGACACGCACTCACGTCCTCGACGTGTATATGTATATGTACGTACATACGTGTATGTGTGTACATGTTCGATAAATCGGAAGTGCAACACGTGAAATTATAATTTTGGAGATTTCTATGATTGCACGGTGCTGTGATTTTTTTTTTTTTTTTTTTTGTAACTTTTTGGTGGGGAATTAAATCGGAGTAACGGTGATTAAAATTTGAAATGTAATTATAGTAAATGCCAGTATAAATGCCATTGTTATTAAATTAAAATCAAATTTTTACAATTCTTCTTCACTACGAATGTAACTAAAGAAATGTCCAATATTAAATATTGGAACAAGTACTCTGCTTTGAATATTTTGTATATTTTTGTATAAGTTTTATCCTGCGTTCTGAGAGTTTCTCAAAAGTTGTAAAACAATCCGCAGTTTAGGGATAAATTTCGAAATAGCGAGATACCTGTTTCTGAAATTTTCTACGATTAATAATTTTTATTAACAAAAATCGCAAATATTTTATTTAACGAACGATTGTATAGTGTAGCAGAGACGTTGGAGAATGTCCCAGAATTGTTTCAGAATTTTTGGAAACCTGGAAAACGAGGGAAAAGAATTATTATTGAAGATGTGTCGAGTCTGTCTAGAGACTTCAACGCCCGCACAAGCGCGAATATTATAGTGCAAACGCATTGGAGACTTCAACGCCCGCATAGGAAGATGCGCGTCAAGAATCATGCACATTCCTACATACGTAGAATAACTATCGCGTGGTTTGAATCTTGCGAACGCAGATCTTGAGAATTCTTAATTCGAACGTGGTTATTTTTATATTATTGTTGTTGCATAGCTTTACACCATTGTTGTGTATATGGTAATATCATGTCGTAATTATTTCAGAATTATTCAAACGGAAGTGAAATCAAATAAAATGGAAGAAACAGTAAAATTTAAATATTCGTCACGTAAAAAGAAATTCAATTAATATATTATACAAATAAATATCCGTAACAATTATCCTAGACTAGATTACTAAACTTTAGAACATTCATCATTCAAAACTGTTCAACTTTCTGCTTCCTTTGCAAGATGGCAAATGTTATTAAATGTTGCGATAAGTAAATATATATAATTACAATAGCATTCATATTCATTCGATATAGTTATTGTAAGAAATACAATTTCTATTATGATAGTAACTTTCCTATTTAATTTTAACTGACTGAACTGAAGGTATTGTATTCATAAATTTTATTCAAATGGCCTAATCTTTATGATACTTTGAATTTTCTTGATCATAACTATAAATTATGAAATAATGGATTACAAGAAATACTGCATTATAATAAATATAATACTCATGTCATCGATATATTTAGTTTTTGTATCAATAAATTTATTAGTTTTCTATTTCATATTTGAGTGTAGCCTTCTAATTATCTTTTACATGATCATAAAATGGGGATATGGTGAATTTCGTTTTAATTCCTCATTTTATTTAATGTTTTACACCTTGGTATCTTCACTTCCTATGTTATATTTATCGTTTAATATCCTAATATTATGTAATAGAATAAATTTTTATATCCTTGGAATATTAAATATCATATACATTAGTGATTTTAAATTTGCAAGATGGCAAATGTTATTAAATGTTGCGATAAGTAAATGAGACAGAAGGTTATAAATCAACGGAGGAAAGTACTTGTCGCATGTTTTTTTTTCCCCTACCGTGATCTGTCGAGTATCCGTGCCCCAACTCCTACGAAACGTGACAAAGGGTAATTGCAAGAAGGCGTGCAGTTAGCATAGGTAAGGCAAAACACGTGGCGACAACGTGTTTCAGAAGCATTTCACCACGCATATCGTCCGCGAGCCGATATATTTCATCGGTGCCCACAGCAAGTGGACAAATTCCACCCGATCGTCGCTCATTCCATGTTCAACCACATTGATTGCGAGCTCGTGGCACGCTCCTTAGCCGCGAGACTTCCTTCTCCTCCCCTTCTTTCTTTCTTTCTTTCTTCCTTTCTTTTGAAATAACGAACCAAGGCAGTTGCGACAGTTGGTGCCGGTTGAAAGACCAGCGTGTGGCGCGTATTGTTCGCGTGCTGACCCGAACCGGGAACCGCAGGCTTGTCGCCAACGCTTTGATAACGAGAGACAAACGTGGTCGGAACGCGCGACATTGTACGCCAGTTTCTCAGCAACCAGTCGCCGAGAAGTTTAATGTGCGTTTAGAAATGAGATTGGCAGAGAGATTGCGGATATTTGTGCAGTTCTTTTGTTTAGAAATTGCCAAACAAGTGAAACCTGAGCGGAGACTTTTACGAACTATTAACGCTCGATTTAATTAGTGAATTTAGTATCTTTTTCTCGTTCGTATCGTAAATTAAATTTTTACATGTTTTCTACTGCATTTCCTTTTTCATCGCTTCAAGCTTATAATCTTGCCTGCAAAGTTATTATCATCAACAGTAGAAAATGATCGATTCAGTAAGAAATGCGACGAGATCGCAAAATCAGCAGAAAAGAAAGAATTTCTTAATTTTGCTAACCTATTTCGAAGTCTATTTTACTTTTTAAGAGCTGACTTGATCTTATGCAGACTCGTGTAAGATTTAAGTATTATTTATAATAGTATGGACACTTTAAAGATCTGTTTATGACCTCGCTGGATATTTTCCACCATCGATATACTGTTCATAAATTTCTGAAACAGTTCATAATCTACTTTGATGTTTCTGGAATTTAAACACTTGAGTGCTTAATATCTATAATTGAACAGTTCAATTTAGATAATATTTTACGATGGATTATATACCAATAATTTTATTATTAATTCAAAAATATTGCATCTTCGATATTTTATTATATACAACATTACATATCAATCGTGCAGATTTAGGAGATTTGGGGATGGGATTTACATTGCAAATTTAAATTGTGAATCACACAGGAAGGAAGAAAGGATCGAATAAAAATCAAAAGGAACAAAATTAAATAAATTGCAAGCACTTTAATCGAAATACTTAACCAACGTAACAAAACATTCTGCCTACCCTCCCTCCCGTTACATTGTACACACAACTCCTCCGCGAAATTCCCAAAATTAAGTTGAACAATTCCACAGAACGAAATCCAATCTCGAAAACCATGCATTGACCACAGAACTCAGGTTCTGCGACTCGTCGATTCGAAGAGGGATCTTTCCAAAAATTTCAATAATCCTGCGATCAACGGCTCCTTGTCCAAGCATGTTTCCTACATTTCCAAAATCCTCGACAACTCCATCGTCGCGGTAGATCGCGAATATTTATGCATTTCTCTGTTACTTCTACTTTTGCAAATGATTATACAACGAAACAGAAAATTCTCGTCTATTTTCCACTAGCATTAACAGAGTACCAAATTCCTCATATTCTCAACTGCCCTTTGTCGCGGTGAATTTCCGCATTCTCTCTCTCTCTCTCTCTCTCTCTCTCAAAAAAAAAAAAAAAAAAAAAGAAAGAGAGAAGGAAAGAAAGAAATATGCACAAACATTCACAATCTACTCGTCAAAGTGAGATATTTTCACCAATGCGGTTGCGGGTAAGGCTCGGCGTAAGCAACCTGAGCCAGTTTCGATATTTGCTCGGCATGGGCTGCCAAGTGTGCAGCCTTGGCGTGCGCCACTTCCGGTGTCTCGAGCACTCTTCCGTCGTGAGCCAAGGGTGCAGGTGGTCCGTGATAAAGATTATGAGCCGCGGCTACGTACGAACCGCTGTAGTCCTCGTACTTCCCGTCCGAATAATCGCCATAACCGAATGGAGTCGCTTTGGCCGCTTCAGCCGCGTGAGCTGCCAAGTGAGCTGCTTTGGCGTGCGCCACTTCCGGCGTGTCGATCACCCTTCCGTCATGAGCCAGGGGCGCTGGTGGACCGTGGTACGCCGCTCCATAGACTTCGTAGCCTGGCAAGGCGGATGCTGAGAGGATGAGACACGCGAGAGGAAGCTGAAATGAGAAACAAAGTGAATTGGCTAAGCTAAATCAGTTTGGATAGATTTGGTAGATTTAATTCAGGACGTATCCATTGTACTCGGTCATTTTTGCACTCTTTGTGTCAATGGAACTCGATCGAAATAA